AGGAATGCACAGGGCACTGTTTCCAGATTTCCATTTCACTATCTTTACAGCTTGCAGGGTTCCTCTTTGAAAAAAAATAAATAGTGGCAAACTGAATTTTTAACTTGAAATTAGACTTCAATTCTACTTAATGGGACAAAGTCTTCAGAGTCCTAGTGTCTTCAATGATAAAGTTTCTTTGTGTAAAGCTCTCAAAGGAGAGCACCTCCATATTTTTTAGATGTGTTATAAATGCCTTAAAAATTTGCTTTAATCTAGTACACCTGTGACACTCATAAATAAGAAGAATATTCTGGGCTTTTTGTTGTGACACTCAACAACAAATAAGAATATTTTGGGCTTTTTTTTTTTTCCTTAAATTTTCTATATTTGGCACCACTTTTAGAAGAATCAGGAGAGGTTTAAGGCTCAAGAGAGTAACCAGTGAAATAATCTGAGTCTATAATGGTAATTAGCACACATAAGCATGGGTATTTCCAGTTTAAAATAAAGTGAAATGAAAGCAGCATACGGAAAACACAGACCGCACTTGCATTTTCAATTCACTACAGATAACCTCTTGAAAAATGAAAGGCCTATTTTTAGCATGATGATTGATTAGTGTTGCCATAGCAATAAGCAACACTTAGAAGAACAGGGTAGAACCTAAGTATGCCAAAACACTTGCCAAAGTCTTAAAGAGACAGTCAAACACATATGGCGTTTCACAATCATTTTTATGGGGAGGACTATAAAAATAACCTTTGCAGAGTAATTACACCCGAGGTGGCTGCAGGAATTACTACAGTTGCCAGTAAATACGTTGGGCAGAGGGTGACTGAGAAAGGTTTCTTTACCCTCTGTAACCTCCTTTGTATGAGTGAGTGTTATTTCATCAATACCGTTTTACCTGCTTTCTTTTTCCATTTAGTTTCTTTCTGCAGAGCGTTCGAAGAACTGCTAGAGACCTCATCATTGCACTTCACTTCTCCTGCTCCTTGTGAATATGTATCCACAATCTTTGGGAGTTATTTTTGTACAGTAAAAATTAATCCCACTTTTTTTTTTTTTTAAGCAGCAG